TTTTTTTTTATTTTAAGAACAAAACTGTTATCTCAGTGTAGAATAAAACACATTATGACAAATAGGTATTATAAGTTATACTACAGCATTTACCACTTATGTCACTTATATCTACCTAATTTTTCCCATAAGAGTGGGCGCGGTCATTTGTAAATTTAATGTGTCTGGCTTCCGGTGTCATACGCTTCCAGCTATTTTTGTACAAAACAGCTTGATTTGCTGCTTGATATTATTGCAAACTGGTGTGTCTTACCATATCATTTTAATGTATTATCTTAATTATAAACACACTGGTTTGTGGTGTAAAAAGTTTTACCGTTTTCTGCACTTTGTTATTCTTCTCATTATTTCCCTACAGTGGCTAATGAACCGGAAGTCTCGCACATTCACAGAAAACGGCTTACTTCCACGTTGAAAAATAAGGTGGATACTGTAAATGTGACCACAGTTAAATAAGGGTGATGACATCATTTAGCTGTGCACAGGCATTCATACTAGAGGGTTATGTAGTTAAAAATTTTTTTTTTTTTTTTTTTAACATGGAAAAAAGTTATGTACTAATTTTTAGTCTGAGGAACCTTTCATTTAAGCCAAACAGCCTGTGTTGAACAGCGAAAGAAGATCCAAAATGTGTAATGCAAGATGAAAATACTGAAACAATCTGGTGAAAGTAACCTACATTTTCTTTGTTTTAATCATTATATATTTATAAATTTATATATATGTATTAATAAATATATAGTAATAAAAAGCAGTTTATCTAAATGTATTTTACAAAAGCATTTTAATAAAGGAAAAGTACCACAGAGACTTCAATGATCATCAGTGATGCTGCATTCATTGAATACATTTCTTGAAATAGAAAATTTGAACTCATTACTGGAAATTATAAACTTTAAAAGGATAGTCCACCCAAAAATGAAAAATTACCCCCCGATTTACTCACCCTCAAGCCATCCTAGGTGTATATGTATATATATTGTATATGACGAATACAATTGGAGTTATATTAAAACATGTCCTGGCTCTTCCCAGCCTTATAATGACAGTGAATAGTGTCATATTCTTACACAAACACATCAATTCTGCTCAGAAGGCCTTTATTCACTGCCCCGGAGCCGTGTGGAGCACTTTTTATGATGGATTTATGCACTTTATTTTGCTTCAAAATCTTGACCACTATTCACTGCCATTATTAAGCTGGGAAGAGCCAGGACATTTTTTAAATAACTCTGATTATATTCATCTGAAAGAAGAAAGTAATATACACCCAGGATGGCTTGAGGGTACGGAGCCCCTGAAGGGACCTAAGCAAAAAAAAAAAATACACAGGCTATCGCGTGCTCAAAAGAAACTATGGGAAGCCAAACACACCGAAAGCGGGACGAAACAGCGTGATGTTACAGAGTTCGTGCCGCGCTGACCTGTCAAAGGCGACCGACTCGACAGCGCAGGGAGGACATGTTTGCTAGCGCCACCAACTAGACAGCGCATTAGGCTACTTTGTACAAATTTATTTGTACAAATCATCCAAGCACCCCATTCTTAGCCATTTCTAATATACTTTTGATTAATATGGCTTAATATTTTTAAATTGTAAAGAAAATGCAGATCCATCTATGATTGTCAAAAGAATTCCAGATGCAGTTCCCTCTCAGCCAGTTAGATTTCACGTAGCATTTTCATCGGACAGTTGTGAAAGTCTGATTGGTTGATAACCTTTGACAACGTTTAGTCCAGGTGCGAAAATAATTAATTTCTAGCGCAAAGGAGAGATTTGCAAGTGCACAGGACGCCGTTTGAGCACGCACACTTTGAGCGAGAGGAGAGATTTGCACTGGCACATCATATTAATGTACTTTCGCACTACAACAGTGCACTCTCGACATTTGTCAGTAAAATAACGCCATATTACATATTCCATGCTTTTGTTTTCTTCATTGTAAGACGGCAGAGAGTGACGCAGCCGGAAAACTGTTATGCGTGAGCACGCGAAAGTTTCTCGTGAGCACGCAATAGTCTGTGTATTTTTTTTTTTGCAAAGGTCTCTTTAGGAGCGCCGTATGAGGGTGAGTAAATCATGGGGTAATTTATGGGGTGAACTACCCCTTTAATTTTTACAGAATTGTTCAAAAAGAGGCACTGTGTACTAACAGAGCTGTGAGATGAGGATGGATTGTGAAACTAATCTATCAACACAGTCACAGGCAAATTAAAAAGTGCACTAAAATCATTGCAATATTTACATTGTTGCTTATTTTCTATTGCACACAAATATAATTGTGAATATAAATTTATATTGAATATGTCTGTGTTGCCCAGTGCTGTTTCATACTGTTGTGAATAAGAAACGGTGTGCATTGATAGATGGGTAAAACTGTGTTTTCTTGTCCACAGAATGATGTAAGGGTGAAGTTTGAGTACCGAGGAGAGAAGAGGTAGTGACCATAATTCCTGCTTCTGCTCCACATCACTTCCTATTTTTAGCACTTCCCTCTAGAGGTTTCTCTTAATTAAACCTGTCCGACAGAGCCCTGTAGATGCTGTGTAATGGATGTTGTGTTAGCTGGTCCAAACCTGCATTTTTATTCCCAGTCCTTTAGGATCACTTTACATAAAATGTTTTGTTCTAAGCCAAATTAACTAAGGGGCTCCTTATTTAGTTAGCGTTAGTTAATTAGTGATGTAGTTTTGGGGTAGTCATGTGTTTGTGTGCATCTGGGTGTGTCTTCATGTATTTGTGTGTGTGTGTGTGTGTGTGTGTGTGTGTGTGTGTGTGTATGCAAAGACTTAACCTAACTGCTAGAATAGACTTCACGTCGGAATATGAATTAATGATTTTAATTTATTATTTGTTAACAAGTAAAGTAACACATTACTTTTAAATTTACAATTAAATATCGAAGTTACTTTTTCAATTAAGTAATGCAAGTTCCCATTTATTCACTGACACCTCTCCTGTCAAGAGGTAGAGAGAAATTGGGAATGAGGTGCAGAGGTACTTACTTCAGCCTGAAGCTTATTAATTTCACTACTGGTTTAAAAATGCCTTTAAAGTTGCCAAAAATATAACTTTGGGGTTTTTTGTTATTAAAAAATAAATGAGCAAGCCCGCCCCAGGTGATAAAAAGTACCACAAAAGTAACATAATGCATTACTTTTCATAAAAAGTAACTAAGTAATGCAATTAGTTACTTTTTTATGGAGTAGTGCAATATCATAATGCATTACTTTTGAAAAGTAACTTTCCCCAACACTTGCGTTCACTATAGCTTAGAAAGCTTTAATACAAACCTAATTTTGTAATTATTATAATTAGAGAATGCATTTGGAGGAACCATTTGCTTGATTCTGTCAAAGTAGCAGTTGATGGTGTGGTTTATGATTTATTATGTGTTACTTAAGGATCCTGCAGTTCCCTCGACCTGTCAGTCTGGAAGATCTGAGCGCCAAAGCTAAAGTAGCGTTTGGGCAGAGCATGGACCTGCATTACACCAATAATGAGGTAAAAGATGCTACAGCTTTGTCAAATTTCTGATATATTTATTTGAATGTTTTCATATATGCCTGTTTTCCTTGTTTTCCTTCTCTCTGTCCTGTAGCTTGTGATTCCGTTGAGTACTCAGGATGATCTGGATAAAGCTGTGGAGCTGCTGGATCGCTCTGTGCATATGAAGAGCCTAAAAATCCTGCTGGTGCTCCCCTCCTGTACTCAAGTCAGTGGACATTATAAGCCATGTTCAGAGAAAAAGTTCTAGTCTGAGACCTGTGACCTAATCTAAAAGCTAAAATGTTTCAAATGTTCTTGTGCTTTCAGAACTCTGTCTCCAGTAAGGACCTGTTGCCAGCTCATGAGAACTTGGACAACACAGACTTTAGTGTTGCAGATAAAAAGAACATGCTGGCACTCATAGGTGGGTTGCATTCAGTGTTTTTGAATTGCGTCCTTGACATAACTCAACATTAAATCGAAATTGACCCCATTTGCTTTCTTAATGCACATTCTTTGAAAGAAAAAATATCTTCATAATGTTTTAGCAAAATATGGTGACTTACTCTTCTTCTGAAAAGACTTTCCATTTGGGTCGATGTGACAAATCATTTTTACTTTTCAATCCCACATCTTGATCTACCTGACTCTATTCTATTCAGATTATAAAAGTGCGTAAGGTGTTTATTGCTCTCTTGCTGCTTCTCCAGGTTCTCAGTCAACCGATCGTAGCTCTCCTCCTCCAGGCTATATTCCTGATGCTCTGCAGCAGGTGGCCAGAAACGGCTCTTTCACAAGCATCAACAGTGAGGGCGAATTCATACCAGAGAGCATGGACCAGGTACATAGTCTTAACACATCTGGTTGAGCTGATGTGGGTGTACTAATCTGTAGCATAATCAGCCGGTGTCCTGATGGCTCATTTATCTTTTCCTGTCTTTCTCTCTATAGATGCTGGACCCGTTGTCTATGAGCAGTCCTGAGAATTCAGCATCAGGCAGCTGTCCTTCATTGGACAGTCCACTTGACAGGTGAACAACTAACCCACACACACATGAAGCCACAATCAAACTATTATAGAAGACAGTGCCTTGCCCAGAGACTGAACTTATATTCACAGCATTCCTTTAGTATGTCAGGAAAGGTATTAAGCAGCACAACTGTTTTCAACATTAATAATAATAAGAAATGTTTCTTGAGCAGCAAATCAGCATATTAGAATGATTTCTAAGGATCATGTAACACTGAAGACTACAGTAATGGCTGCTGAAAATTGAGCTTTGCATCACAGGAATAAATTACATTTTAAAATGTATTAAAATAGAAAAAGCATTATTTGAAATTGTAATAATATTTCACCATATTAGTAGTATTAAATAGTAAATATTAAATAAATTAAATATCAAATAATATTTGCTGTTTTTTTTTTTTTTTGATCAAATGAATGCTGCCTTGGTGAGCATGAGAGACTTCTTTAAAATCTGACTGACCCTAAAACTTTGAACAGTAATGTACAGTTCATGCTTGCAGTTACAAAAAATTAAAAAAAAAAAAAAAAGTTTTTTTTTTCTTCTCTCATGGATCTCTTACAGTGACACCTATCCCAAATCCTGTATGCCTCGAGCCCTGAGCTACCCTGATAACCATCAAGAGTTCCCTGGTAAGCTGTTGCTGATCTTTCTGCTTTGATGTCACATGAATACTAACATTCCTAAGTCTTGATTATTTCTACTATGTTTCACAGAGTATGACATACCAGTGTTTGAAAAAACTGGGAAGGGAGGAACCTATCCTAGGCGATATCCAATCTCGTTTGGTCTGCACGACTACAGCGATGGTGAGGTTATATTGGGCCATGGCCATAAACAGAAGCTTTGTTAATTTTTCCAAAAAGCAAAATCACGCTGTTCTTAAATTGGAACATCTTTCTCCACTCAGGACGAAAGACCTTTCCCAGGGCGCGGCGGACACAAGCTCATGGTTTTCGTTCTCCAGTAAGTTTCAGTCCAACTGAGCAGCAGAGCCCCAGCACTAGCAGTGGAAGCAGCATCTTCACTCCTGAGCTAGAGGAACCGGGGCGCAGACGCCGTGGCAGTGACATAGAGCCCAGCTCTAACCCCACTCTCTCAGTCATGGACATCAGCCCTCCAAGCCGCTGTGAGTGGATTTAGGTTTAGAGGAGAACATCTTCTGTTGTTCCAGTCTGTTGTTCTTTTAAGCTTACTAACTAAATCAAAAATTAAGCAGCATAACTGTTTTTTTTTAAACTGGGATAATAAGAAATGTTAATTGAGCACCAAATCAGCATATTAGACTGATTTCTGAAGAATCATGTGACACTGAAGACTGGAAGTCTGCTGAAAAATTCAGCTTTGTCAGGAATAAATTACATTTTAAAACCCATTAAAATAGAAATGTTATAAATAGAAATCTTTAATAGATTATAAATCTAGCAAAACATGATGGACTAGAAAATGTATTTAAATTAATTGGTCAAAAAGCAGAGGGGAAATCGTCTCTTTTCTTTGTGTATAGCCCCTCGGGCTCCCACAAACTGGCGTCTAGGGAAGCTTTTGGGGCAAGGAGCGTTTGGGCGAGTGTTTCTATGCTACGATGCAGACACTGGCAGAGAACTGGCTGTTAAACAGGTGCAGTTTGATCCGGATAGCCCAGAAACCAGCAAGGTGAACAGTGTTTTTCAGGCTTTGTAAGGTTAATGTGGTGTCTAGTAAACCTTTGCACTTATTGTGGTTTGTATGTGTGTTCAGGAGGTGAGTGCTCTGGAGTGTGAGATTCAACTGCTGAAAAATCTATTCCATGAGCGCATTGTTCAGTACTACGGCTGCTTGCGGGACACGCATGAAAGAACTCTTTCTATCTTTATGGAGTACATGCCTGGGGTAAGTATGTGTTAATTCACTTGAACACACGTTCTTGTATGCTAACTTTGTTTTCTAAAGGTTTTACAGCGTTGGAGAGCTGTGCAATTAATCGAAATAGAGTTTTGATTTTGATTTCGGCCTCCAACGATTATCAAAATATTATAATCGGGGGAAAACGAATATTGCGCCCCATTCCGTTCCCTTTCCAGTGGTGCGCTTGCATCCTCAGTTAAAGCCCGATTTCACATGCAAATCAGTAAAAATGTAACGTGACTTTTGCAAAATGGGACGTGCTTGGTTTATTAAAGTTTATTAGATTTATTCATGTTTTTAAAAGCGCGAAAGAGAACTTGCACTGTTCCTCAGGAGGATTTCTGTGCATGCGCTCAGAGACAGAACAGAACAAGGACATGTAAAGTCAGCTTTTAGCTTATGGTGTGCGCCTAAACAGTCAAATATACGCAAAAATGTGTCAGAATGCGGCGTTTGGTGATTATTCACGTAAACCCTCGTTGGTTATGTAATAAGTGAATGTAAACAGTTGAGAATGAAAATACGTGTGTAACAGTAAAGTGACAGTAGGCTATATTCCTGCTGCTGACTTAACAAAAGAAGTTTAATTCTTACAGTGAAGACTATGCTGTTTTATTTTACATTCGATTATTCAATTTATGTAGTAGGCTGTTAACTGAATACTTTAGACTTGAAGCACTGTTTGTTTCATTTTTATCTTTTTTCTATTGTATTCCTTTGCTTTTGTTATTACAGTTTAATTATTGTCAATAATTTGAGGACTTTTTTTAAATTTTATTTTTAATAATATTAGTTACCAGTCTTCTGGACGAATCCAGGTCTCAGTCAAGCCCAAGATGCTAAGTGTGGAGTTTAAAGAAAAAGAAGAAATGAAGTCTGCTTTGTTGACAGCTGACTGACTTACTGACATTGATGTTAATCTCACAAACAGTAAATATACATAACAGTTCTTTTCAAATCAGACATGACTGATTGCGGTTCAGTAATAGAGACATTAATTCAATAACTGCCCTAGTGGATGCAGAGTTCATTTACTGAAGGATTTGTGCAACAAATATCTTATATATTTATCCATGTTAATGATTTTTTTTTTTCCAGTCAGGACTGTGTAGATACTTACTGTCTGTCTTTTGAAATTTAAATGTTATGTTCCATAGGGCTCCATTAAAGACCAGCTGAAGTCTTATGGTGCTCTGACGGAGAATGTCACACGTAAATATACACGGCAGATACTAGAAGGCGTGTGCTACCTTCACAGTAACATGATCGTCCACAGAGATATCAAAGGTAAACCAACTGCATGTGATGTTGTCAGTTATTATGAACTGAATAGCTTTTTTTTTTTTATATATTTACGTATACACTTATAGATGCAATACATGTAGCACTCAAACTTCTTTTGTAACTGTCCTTTAAATGTCTCTATCTTCTAATGCTTCTGCATGTACATGTCCTGTTCTTTCATCCATATAGGTGCCAATATCCTTCGGGACTCAGCAGGTAATGTGAAGCTGGGTGACTTTGGAGCGAGTCGGCGGCTCCAGACCATCTGCCTGTCCGGAACGGGCATCAAGTCAGTGACAGGTACACCTTACTGGATGAGCCCAGAGGTCATCAGCGGAGAGGGGTACGGCAGGAAAGCTGATATCTGGTAAGCCCTTAAAGTCTGCATGAAATTAAAATTCACCCACATCTTTTTTGTAAGTGCATGTGATTGTGAACTACTCATCCATGTATGTTTTATTTTTAAAAATTAGTTTTACCTCCTAATTTTTAATTTAAATGTCTTAACTCGATGGCAAAATGACAGACTTCTCTCTGGTGACATATACCGAACTGCTCCAATCATTTAATATACTTAAACCAATCCCTTCAATCAACAATAAACGATGGGTAGAACCAAGTTCTCGCTGTACATTTTTTACTGTTTCAATATTCTGTTTAACGTCTGTAGAAGAAAAATGCAACTTCCATTTCAATACGAATTTAAACCTTTTAAGCTGAAATTGTGATACTTCACGACAATAAGGATGTCTGATGGCCCGGGGTCAGCATAAAAGACTCTGTCCTGTTTCTAGCACATTGAAAGAACACTATTAGAAAAGATATGTATATGTTTTTGTGTGTCTCACAATCACATTAACAATGAAGGTAATACCACCTTGATTCCAGGAGCATCGGCTGTACTGTTGTGGAGATGTTGACTCAGCGGCCGCCCTGGGCGGAGTACGAAGCAATGGCAGCCATTTTTAAAATCGCCACACAGCCCACCAACCCCACTCTGCCGCCTCACGTGTCGGACCACTGCCGCGATTTCCTTAAACGGATTTTTGTGCAGACTAAACAGCGTCCCTCTGCTGAGGACCTATTACGGCACACTTTTGTCCACTAGCCACTCCCCCTTCCATCTCTGACCACTCAAAGACTTCCATAAGTGTCTGTAGGACCACTCCCTTTTGAGACTCCTCCCAGCAGGCCTACGAGCCCCTACCCAGACTGGAGCGCATAGCGAAGAGGGCAGTGGCCTAATCTCACACCTCTGCTGGGGCAGGAGGGTGATTTGGAGCAGCTTGATTCCGTATGAAAACATTGCACCTTGATTTCACTCGGGTAAGTACCCCTAAAGACTAACGAATATCGGTACCCCCCAAAAAACTAGAGGATGTTGTCTTTTAAAGGCTTTCTTTTATTCATTTGTAATGTTTTGATCTGGGGAGTCTGATTGGGTTCTGGATGCACTGGGTTAATGCAGGAAGATCTTGGAATGTCAACCCCAGAGCAAGGCAGGTACATCAATACGCTGCTAAAGGGTAAAAGGAAACAAAACAGAATAGATGACCGGATTCAAGGGACTCTTCAGCCCGGCTGTCATGGCTTCTTAAAGTTCTCATTTTCTTGCACAGTCCTCTTAGAACATACACACAGGTACATGGACTCTGATCAAAAATCTTACTGTAGAATATTTACTCACTATGCTGTACAAACATTTACGTTTGCTCTCTCTCACCTTCTGATCGCAACCACACACTGGAGTGTATTCGCTCTGTCTAGCTCTAGAATTCGTCAGGATCTTGTACCAGTTTCTGCTTTGTTTCTGTTTTTACTGTGTGCCTTTTTACACCGTCGCCTTCCTCTTTTTTTTGTATTCTGCTCTAAGTGTCCGATCATTTTTCTAGAATTGTATAAGTTTAATGCACAGCTACTCACAAGTCGTTCTGACTTTGGTCTGTACAGGAATTATTTAGGACAGTTCGGCTCTTCATACTGTTTCTAGATCAGCATAAGCAGCCTCTGCCTTTCCCCCCTTTGGTCCCTTTGCTGGCAAACTGATCTCGGGTCAGGTTCACCTGTGCATTCTCTTAACACAGTGCCGTACACTTCAATCTGATCAGGTAGGCAGGTTGAATACACACTCACCAAAGCCAAAAAAAAAAACCCGGACCACACAGCCAGGGTTTAGTGCCTGGACATTTTACAGTAAGAATCACTCTGATTCCAGTATAAATCTCAAGAACATAGACCGTTTTGAATATAGAAATGGATTGCTGTCAGTATGAAAGTTGACACAGTAAGTGCACTTCTAGTGAAGACTACACAACCTGGATCCTTTCTGCTGATGTTTTCCATACCAAACGTCTGATGTTCCAATTGTTCTCGTCAGAAGTTCTCACTCTAATGTATATCCGTAGGTTTCAGAATATGTAGAATTTCACAAATCGTAACAATACTCAGCACTTGATAGTACTTAACGGTTTGCCTATAAATTAACCTTGCTATCCCACGATGCCTTGGGACAGGATGTTTCACCCGTTCACACTCTGTCAGCACTTGGTTACACACTCCCTGCTAGTGAGCGCTCCTGAATATTTTAGTGAGTGGTCATGTTGCTGTTCAATACTCATTCAGAGATCTTTCCTCCACATTGTGCTGTAGTGCCTACCTTCAGATGTCATGCTTACGTACCTTTTGGGGTTACCCTGGCTCCTTCCTTAATCCATTAGGTTTGTTTTCTTTATTCCTTGTCACAATCTGCCGTTTTTTAATTAGAAAGCTATTTATTTTCCCCCTCTCATAAATATTGAGAGTATAGTACTAGTGAGTTAGCATACGCGTATGTTAATTTAATAATCATAGAATGGAGACACAATTAAAATTTAAGCAGTGATTTCATATTGCTTGCTTATAGTGACCTGAGAATAAGATTAAGCTTCATACTTATGGTCCGTTCACACAGGACACGTTCTTATGTTCTGTCTGTGCAATCTGTAAATTGTTGGTTTATTTTACACATGTGGGTCAATAACATTACATTGCAGAGGCGGACAAAGTACACAACTCCATTACTTAAGTGAAAGTTATGTGTAGCCATTCAATCACATTTGAACAGAGTGGACAGTGAAGTTGCTGTAAATACAGACTGATAAGGAAGAAAATAAAAAATCAAACCTGCTTTAAAACCCAGCAACACAACTGTAGCTGTATAACAGCAACACTGCTTTAACAAAAATGCAAAACATCTAGACTTATTTGACATCAAAACAAAATGTTAAAAAAATGCTGTCTAATCACTCTCGCTGTACTTTGTCACACACAGAATGGTCTGTGCAGTGCTGCTTCAGTCAAACACCTTTTGTGTTTTATTAGGAGACACACAACAATTCTTCTGTGGCTTTATATAGGTAATATTTTCACTTACACAATTTAGCAAAATCAGACAATGACTTTCAAAGCTGCTACATAGTAACGACTTTCTACTTCGAGGACCTTGATAGAAATGTAGTGAAGTGAAAAGTACAATATTTGTCTTTGAAATGTAGTGAAGTTAAAGTCATAAGTTCCCAGAAAAAAAATAATACTCAAGTAAAGTACAGATACTCAAAAAGTGTACTTAAGTTACATCCGCCTCTGTTACATTGACATTAATGGCATACTTTTTACAATTAAAATACATGAATTAATATCTGAATGAAAATAAATTTAGATTTTTTTTAGCTTAATATCAAATTTGTTAGGGTGATACAACTGTCCTGATATAATGAAGAAAAAAAGCTGCATTAAAATACTTTTTTTTTTTTTAAAGAAAACCTTGAGTAAAGGTTTATTCTTTATGCTTTTTTATATTAAAAAAAATATTTTAACAAAACTTCTTCACGGTTGTTTGCTAACTCAAAGCTGTGCTAAAAGCAACATGCTGAAAGATGCAAGAAAAGAAAACTTAAATCAGGAAATTATATTATACCCCCCTCTCTTAAAATATTAGAAAATGTATGACAATATCTATTTTCATTTCATGGTTAATTTAGGTTGTAAAATGGCATGTTGTGTTAGTACCCCAAAAAATTTGATGTTGAATTAATAAAATGTGATAAAAAAAAAGTTATGAATTTAAACAAAATCTTTTTTTACTTGAACAATTTATTTATATTTTTTACAATGAAATAATATATATAATTAAATATAATAATGATTAAAATGTACACTCACATGTATTCAAGGAATGTTATTGGTTACACCATTTTTAGAGTAATTAAACTCTTAACTCATGAAACCAACATGAATACAAAAAGTGCATTTTTAAGAATCATTAATGATATTATTTGCCATTGACCCATGTGCCTGCCTCTTATTGTTAATTTTAAAACAATGAACTAATGAACACGTCTATAAACATTCTTTTCAAATGTGATCTGTCTAGCTGTTTCAGTGTAAGAACACGTCCTGTGTGAACACTGTTACTGTAGCAGCGTAAACTACCCTGGGCAGATAGATTGTGATAACATGAAAGAACTAGCTTTTTGCTGTCAGTAAGGGTAATTACAGTAATGAGACTGCACGTGGTACTCATTTTTCACACTCCAAGCAAACGTTTACAGTTTTCTGTTGGTGACTAAGAAAGTCTACCTCCATTAGGGTTACTTAGGAATGATTTCATGCGGCTGTTGGATCATGATATCTGGGAGTGAAGGACATGACCTGCTCACACAATAGATCTACTTTATTAGCGGTTCTCTATCCGAGGCCCCCTTTGTTTGCTCTTGCACCTTGCAGGTTTTTAAAAAAATTTTTTTTTTTTAAGTCTTTCTTTTATGATGCCATGTGATTTGGGCCCGCCGTTGCCAACCCTGGATTTCTGTGGCAGTATTTGAAGGAATTTCTCCGCACCTAGTATAACAAGAAATGTTCTGGTCTGTGGAGGTTTAAAGTGCCAGTTCGTAGAACTAAAACCACATTTATTTTCATTTAAGCATTACTGGTTCAGATGGTGTACAGACATACTACACAAAAAGTAGGCAGTGTATGTTTGTAATGTATGTACTGTTAATATTTTCTTTTGATGCTGAAATGTTTGCACATTGAGACTATGATTTTTACACTGATTTTAATATTTTTGCCAGTGTTCGTCAGTCATTCTGTGTGTGTTTGTAAGCGACGTGTGAGCTTGTGTGAATGCTTGTTTTCTGTTCATGCCGATATGAGATGAAATGGTTGCCCTGGTTACCAGCTTTGTTGGTTAGGTTGGTCACATGGTCACTGATGTAAAGTCTGCTCTCGTCTGTGGTAAACAGTGTTGGGCAGTAACTAGTAACTTAGTTACTGTACTAATATTACTTTTTGCAGTAACTAATAGTGTAACTAATTACTAATAAGATTTCAGTAATAATATTACAGTTACCATCCATAAAACAGCTTAGTTACTTTTGATGCCTCAACCCCACTCGCTGATTTAAAATCCAACAATCAAATAATTCCTAGATTTATTTTCATAATTTTCACGACTTGCACATGCATGCATCCAGTGCAGCAGGCATGCTTGGAATATGGAAAAGCTTACATTCAGCCGATAGAAATATTGCATTATATTGATTTTGTCTGGAAAAAAAGATGATCTGAGCACTATTGTGCAAGTTGTGGCTTTACTTTACGCTGGCATTACATCCCACCCACATCCCTCTGATCAGCATGTGATACATTATATTACTATAATATATATATTTTTTTGTGGAAAATTAAAGTTTCTTACAAACTTAAGTGATTTGATCAAATACATAATAAAATATAATCGTACATGGGTAATGGAGAAATTACAATTAGCCTCAAGCTACACATGACAATTAATGAGATTAATGCAACACTTCTACTTGAATGTCACTATCAATCACTAGAATTTTATGTGGAAGATACACAGTTACAACTAGTGGGGCGTGAAGAAAAAGTAATGTAACTAGTAGTGTAACTAATTACTGTTGCCAGAAAGTAATAATTAAAGTAACAATATTACTTTTGAAATGAGTAACTAGTAATGAGTAATATATTACATTCTTTGAGTAACTAGCCAAACACTGGTGGTAAACTTTGCCACCGTTATGCCACAACTTGTTCCTCAAACAAACACACTTGCGAAATTAACAGACAAATAATGGTTGGTTTTTGTAAGTTCAGAGTTAGAAAATGAGAGCCGAACGTCTAAATGCTGACTGGTGCCAAAGAAACTGACTTGGACCAACGTGACTGGTATCCTGGCCAAAGGTTGTTGTAAAGCAAATTGAGAATCTTCCTACTGGAATGTAATGTCATATTTTTTTTCACCACTAGGTGGCATCATTCAACTATTTGCCTGTATATAAATTGTTGGATTTTTTTTCTTTGAAATATCACTCCAGTTTACCAATAGAGTTCCATAGCTGCAGAATGCATTGTTTATTTATGAAAGTAATTACAAGAAGATCTCCATCAATTCCAACAGGCTGGGTTCAGTGAAACACGCCACTGCTGCCTATTATTTTTATTTATTTATTTTTTTATCTTACTACCCACAAACTTCTGAACGGTAGTGTATTGTTTTAGCCGTAAGAAGAAAAAAAAAACCTAGTATACGCCTTTGTGCGGTTGATTAAACAATAACGCCTTCATGTGTGACAGTTACATATAGTGTCAAACTCTGTCTGTGTGTGTGTGTGTGTGTGTGTGTGTGTGTGTGCTCGCCGACCTGGGCTGTGTCTCAAAACCCAGCGGACTGCCTGCCTAGAAAGCTTTGTTGGACATCATAGGCGTTTTGGTTTGAAACGCGGCAATGTTGTCTATGTAGGCAGCTCACTAGGTTTTGAGACACGATGAATCCCGCCCAGGGTTTGACACAAAACATCATCTAGAATGCGATCCTCCAGAGTATCAGATATTCTGTGCGACGGACGCCAAGCATCATGTTGTCTTCTGCTCTGGTGAAAGCTGATCGTCTCGCAGTTCATGTTGGTAAAAAATATGCGCCATTTTATGAATTCATAGCGCGAACCCTGAAGTCTCAAACAGGCGATGTAGATTTTCACAGCTCTACATTGTTCACGGGAAAAAACAAAACCATAGATGATCTACCGGGACCCAGTCTGGCCACAACTGCATACTGGCTCTTCGTCAAAGGATACGCGGATAAA